GACGAGGAGGCAGGCGAAGGCCCCGGTCTGGATGGAAGGGGGGGGGGGGGGGTCTCTTCACCGCCCGCACTCTGTATATAAAGGGCCTCGGGGCCTTCCTATCACTCTGGCCCAGACGTTAAAGGAAAGCCGGGATTTTCCTCCGCCGCCCCCCCTCCAAAGACGCAGAGGAGAAGCCCAACAGGCCTTTGGACACGCCAGGGACCCCTTTTCGACCGACCCGGGAAGGCCTCTCGGGGTCTGGGTTTGGAAGGAGGAACGTCAGTCCTTCAACTATATAAAGGGCCTCGGGGCCTTCCTATCACTCTGGCCCAGACGTTAAAGGAAAGCCGGGATTTTCCTCCGCCGCCCCCCCTCCAAAGACGCAGAGGAGAAGCCCAACAGGCCTTTGGACACGCCAGGGACCCCTTTTCGACCGACCCGGGAAGGCCTCTCGGGGTCTGGGTTTGGAAGGAGGAACGTCAGTCCTTCAACCGAGGGATCTCTGCCCCGCCGCCGCCAGGAAGGAGCCCCGGGGAAAGGAGCGATCCTTCCGAGGGAGACCTTGGATGATGGATGTGCCCGGGCCGTAGCTGCCATCTTCTGTCACCGTCCCACTGTGTCATGGGGCTGTCACTGCCGCCGCGTTGGCAGCGGGATTGCGCCTTCGGTGGTATGAGCTTGTGTGTAGGAGCCCGCCTTGGTGTTCATAACAGGCCTGAGGAAGTGGGCTTGATCCACGAAAGCTCGCCTTCAACTACAGCGGCTAGTCCTTAAGGTGCCGCAGCGTTTTCGCCTTCTTAAGTTTTTTTTTATTTTGCTTTTACTTTTGCCTGATATTCCAGCGCAAACTAACACGGCTGCCTCTGCTATAATATGCCAGCTGTCTTTTCTCCCCTGCCAGCCTTCTCTTCCCCCCCCCCGCTCAGTCATTTCCTTCCAATAGCTAAGCAGATAACGCCGTTACAGCTCTTACTAAATGCATTCAAAGGAGCCTGCCATGGTTTCACCCACTGCATTCCCAGAAATGAAATTTGTGATACTCCAAAGTGCTTAATTTATGCGGGATCGGGTTTGATTGGACATCTCGAGGTGGGCACCCGAAGGAGAGTAGCGTGGGGGCTTGGTGGGACCGACCGGGATCCTTGTGGAAGAGCTTCACAAAGAGAATTTTCCACCCTCGCCTTCCCCTTTAATAATGATCTATGGAAGTGGGGTAACGGGATATATTAGTTCTTCTTAGGAGAAATAGCAATACTACCGCCTTTGTGATAACATCCTTTTCTGTTTATTCCAAGTGTAAGGTTAAGGCTACTGAGTACTAACCATTTTTGAAAATCGATTGTCAGCTTTGCACTATGTGAGGTATACTGTATAAAGGGCTCCTAGGAGGAATCAATAGCTAGATTTCCTCGCCACCCCCCCCACCCCCAATCCCTCTTCCACACAGAATGTCTCATCTGTTGGTAACCCCTACATGGAGGAACAGTGGCCAAGGAGGATGCAGGCAAAACAATTATTTTAAAGAGGGTGGGGGAACTCACCACAGCTACGTTTTTTCTTGAATTTTATCTGTAACCCTGTTAGTAGGATCCTCAGCTTCCTTTGGATAAAATGACGAGCTGTACCTGGAACAAAGGAGAAAATTCAGTGAAAATATTTTCTTTCTTTCTTTCTTTCTTTCTTTCTTTCTTTCTTTCTTATTTCCGTCTCTGGACTTCATAAATAATATATTTTAGAAGCAACCTACATATGAGTAATAGTTTCTCTCACACACATAGGATGGGACTTATTCCCAAAGAAATGTGTTTTCGTTCCTGGCCTTATGTGACTGTATAATTTAAGAGTTTTTTTTTTCTTGCTGAAATTAAGTCATTTGAATTGTCACCAAATAATATACGAAGGGAACTTTAATAGTCTCTGAATATATACGAGCCAGCCCAGTTCTGTTACCCACCTAACAAGCAAGGGTTTAGGCAATCAAGTAATTGCAAAAGATCATATGCTTTTAAATTAGGCGTTTAGAGGCTCTCACATCCTCGGCAATGTTTCCAAGCAGAATATTCAGAACTGTAACACATTTCCCTACTTTTGCTTGCTCATTTTGAGGTGGGACGGTATGTATGTATGTATGTATGTATGTATGTATGTATGTATGTATGTATGTATGTATGTATGTATGTATGTATGTATGTATGTATGTATGTATGTATGTATGTATAAATAAATAAATATTGTGTGAACAGCAACTTTGTAGCTTGCCCCTTGAAAAGGAGATTTGGTTGAATCAAACTGTGTACCCCCAAACCATCACACATATAAAAAGGAGGCAAATATTTACATCCAAGGCACATCATTCTCCTCCGAAGAATAGAAAGCTCTCAGGAAGAGCCTCTGTGCCATAATAATAACTGAGACTCATGCATAATGCACAGCTGGGGAATACCCTGGGTATGTCACACTAAGTAAAATCCGACCATGACTCCCCTTGCAGTATCTTAGCAGTCTGCCTTTGGGTTGTTGCAAGGAGATGCATTCAGATTGGATCTCTCTCTCTCTCTCTCTCTCTCTCTCTCTCTCTCTCTCTCTCTGTGAGAGAGAGAGAGAGAGAGAGAGAGATAGAGAGAGAGAGAGAATGTATTCGTAGGCAACACATTTTTGAAGCTACAGCTTACTCATCCTTCCAAAACATCAGCTCCCTCTCTTTATGTGGGACTACAGTTTGGCCTTTGCATCTGAATTTGCCAACTAAAAACTTCTGACAACATCCACAGAGCTACTAGTGCTCTGGGGGAGGGGTGGGTGGCATCTCCCCACAATGAAGCTAGGGCCATTATAAAGAGAATATCTAACAAGCATAAGCCTTTGAAATGACCTTTGGCTTGTACAGCCATAACTCACCACTTAATGAACAACCCAACGGAAGCACCCTCCAACAGCTGCCAGCAAAAAAACGAGCTCCCAACTTCCTTCTCTTATCCCTCTCCAAGTCCAGCTGTGAGGCAGGCAGCCCTTCTTACCCCTCCCCAGCCACCTTTAATTTAAGCTGGCCAAATGAGGTTTGGGTGAATGCCGCCTTGCCGGTCACACACACACCATGCTTCTTTCACTCCAGAAAGACCTGTTCCCAGCATCCACCTTATATAAGCTATTCACCTGGGCACGTGTTAGTTTTAAGCAGTTTTGTTGGTATTATTTTGGTCCCTTTTTGAAAAAAAAGGAGTTGATGCAAAAGAAGGAACCCTGCGTAGTGGACGAAGAAGGCTTAAGTTGAGGGAGAAGGAGGGAGTTGGCAAAGTGCTGGTGGGTGGGTGCCACCTCATAGAAGCACCTGAGCAGAAGGACCATTATTTGTAAAAAGCCAGCCCATGTTACTCGCTGTTGATTAACTTGGTAAGTTTTCATTTCGTGTCTAATTAATTATCGACTTCTGAATATCTCTGCAGCACCCATGCCACAAGGGAAGGAAACGCTGATTTAGACTCCTTGTTATTGTTGTTGTTGTTGCCAGAAAGAAAGAAGGAAAGGAAAGAAGAAAAAGACAAAACAATAAAAGCAAGTGAACCCAAATATTTGCAAGCCGGTTTGGGCTACCATCTGTCTTTTGATCTGACAACCACCCAACTTTCGGTTGTGCTTTCAAATCGGCTGTCCCACTGCACCAGCTTTTTGCACATCTCCAGAAGATGGGAACGGTCAAACACCTCTGAGTACTCTCTGCCTAGAAAAACCCTAGAAAGGGCCGCCATAAGTCGGAGTTGACCTGAAGGCACAAAATAGCAAACCAAGAGCGGCTGCCTGTAGCATCGTCCTCAGTGTTGTCTCGGTCTCGCTTAGACTCTAGGGCCAATCTTCGAGGATCCTTCAGGCCCAGGCCGAGAGGGCGAGAATGAGAAAGGAAGGAAGGAAGGAAGGAAGGCAAGAAGGAAGGATGGAAATTTTAGGTGAAGTTCCAAGCGAGAGCGATCCCTGCCGCGTAACGAAATGAAATGCCGCTTGCAGTAATTGGATTCAGCTGACTAACTTGTCAGCCCCGCAGCTTGGAGGCAAAAGGGCTAAAGGAAAAGAGAGCCGCGCGGGGGAGGGGTGGGGGGGGAAGAGTGCGGTAGCTTGCTGGAAGCTTCTTCCGATCCAGCCTTGCGCAAAACGTTGCCCAAAGCGCAATTCACCGCTGCCTGGTCAGAATACTGTGCGTTAACGCGCTGGAGTGTGTGTGCGTGGAATCGGGGAAATGCATGCAGGTACTGACCTCTGGATCTAGAGCCATACATAAATAAATATTATACACAGCTATAAATTGACTTCCTTCCAAGTCTCAGAAGCTTCCTACTGAAACTTATGCGAAATTTACTAGGTGGATAAATGGTAGTCGAGCAGACCGCATGGCTCCCCCGTAGTGCTTGGCGAATTTACCTGGCAATAAGTTTGACTAAGCTCATCTGGATTTCTTTCCAAGCAAGACTTGACTGCACATGATTATTATTAAAGTATGTTGCGGATTCCTGTTCCACTAAAATACCTCTACGTTTACTTCCAAGCAAATGAATGTAACAGCGTCACAGCTATAAGTTTTTACAACTCTCCGTTTAAATACTGTACGTTACTTAGGACTGCAACACGGGTATGCCTAATCCTGTGATGCGTGTGAATTAGAATCCCCATCTCTGTAATATTTATTGGCCACAATCCATCACAGAATTGGGCACACCCGTGTTGCAGTCTTAAGTAATCTAAGTGAGGAGTGGAATTTACTTTCAAGTAAATATGCAAAAAATACTCCTCTTATGAAAACCAGTGAGAGAGCAGATCTGCCTGCCTCTCTTGGATTGTGGCTTATCTTTATTTATGACGAATCATATGGGCACACTTACCCTAGCTCATTTTGGGGCTTTTCTATAGATTTATACAAGCCCACCACAGTTATGACCAACCAGTATGCTTTGTTAGCATATGTGTGTGTGTGTGTGTGTTTTGGGGTATGGGGGAAATCATTCAGATTAAAAAGAAGGTGCAGTACAAGAAAAAGACGCAAGACGAAATATTACTTTCTGGGATTCCCTCCAAACAGGAGGCAGGAATACTATTTCCACAGGGTATCTATTAAATGTGACTGCAGGTATATAGTGCATTGTTAGCTTAGTCCAGTTATCCATGCCAAAAGAAGAGCAGAACTATTCAAAAACACAAGAGCCCTAAAATTTAGCAGGACACCTAAAGAAATACATTTGTTTTCATATTTAAACACAAAGGTTTTGTATCTTCCTGGCCCCCCCACCCTCGTTCTTTGAAATCCAGGTTTCTCCTCCTGCCTTCCTTAGGTTACCCTAGATAAAGGCAGCCTTGGGGGAAAGCTACAATTCGGAAAGGCCCATAATTTACTACAACAAAAACAACCACAACCACAACCATCAACCTGTTACCATTTCAAGTGATCTACAAAGATACGGTGTCTATGCATTTATTTTATGTCCCCCGGACTGATTACCAGCACCTTCTCTTTTCTTTCCCTTTAGAGTCAGGAGTTGAGGGCACTGGGGTAGGATGCAGAATTCCATCTTTGTTTAAGCTCATGCAGTTGCTTACCTGTATCCCTGCTTATGCTAAAACTGTTCTTCCCGGTCAAAAACTGTGGATTTGCAGCTTTGAGGATATATCCTTCCTCCTTTGTTCTGTAGACAATACACTCCTAAAACTGATCTTGCGCGTTTGCCCAGGCATTTCCATAGACCAGTATTCCCGATAGAATAAAGACGAAGGCTGGAGCGCCAATAAAAGAGCGCAAATGGATTTTGAGTTTGCTGGGATTAGTAATGTATACTTATATATGCATACATTATATACACATGTATTCTAAAAATCCTTGACGATCAGCCCCACGGAAAAAGACGTCACTTGGCTAGCTTATGGTGTTGCTTTGTTTGCAAATAACCAGGCGATGAAGCCATGTATGCGATATAGTCATATAGATATAGACCTATATATATGAGCCACAGAGAAAGCCTTCTGTAATAAGGAAAACAGGCGCTGCCTTAAAATACGAGCATATTTGTTCACGTGATCCTGAGAGAGGAGATGGCTCTGATTAAGGCTGGGACTTCCACTCGGGTTATCCTCTGGATAAATCCTCCCCCAATATCGGCGCTCGAAAGTCTGGGGAGCGGAGGTGGGCTAACCCAGGGAGCCAAAAGCACCCGCAAGCCTTCCTATGGGGGAAAAAAAAGCCAAGAGCATCGCCTGGGCACAGCCTGATTCATACAAAAATCTCCACTCACGAAGTCCAGTGCCAAGGGGCGGCCGAGCGCCCGGCTGGAGTATCCTTAACAAATCCTCACGTCTCCAGCTGACTCGGATCCCCTTAGTCAAATATTTCATAGGAGAGATGGTGGGGTGGGGGTGAGGGGTGAAGCTGGGAGCTCCTCCAGTCTCTTGGTGACAAATTAAACCGCCGCGGTAATTTGCGCTCAAGAAACACAGTGGGATTATAACAATAATAATCCTATGTGTCGAACAAATGGGTGTGTGTGTGTGTGTCTGTGGATGGGAGGGATTGGGGTGGGGGCTCCTCTTAGTGGCAGAGGAGGGGCTTCTCCCCCATTGCTTCTCAAAAATAGTTATGACTTTAAGGCAG